TCTTTTAGTTCTTCTTCTTGTTCTTCGTCTTCGTCTTCTTCTTCTTCTTCTTCTTCTTCTTCTTCTTCTTCTTCTTCTTCTTCTTCTTCTTCTTCTTCTTCTTCTTCTTCTTCTTATTCTTCTTCCTCTTCCTCTCTTCTTATTTTACTTCGTAAAACAGCCTTCCCAAGCGTTTTCTCCTTTACGATCACCAACCGGCAATCGAGTCGATCACCAATCTCACGCGACGATCCGTCAAAGGTACTCTCTCTATAAAGCCTTCACCTATTTTTCAACTTCTACGAACCTTTTCCGTTCTTATCCAATGACTACTAACCTTTTCGATGCTAGAGAACCATTCTGAGGGTTCTTTATCTTATTGTGTTTCTTTTTTCTTTTTTCTTTTTTCTTTTTTTTTTTTTTTTTTTTTTTTTTGTTTTTTTTTATTTATTTTTTCTTAATTCTTTTTTCCTCTTCATTTTCCTCTTCATTTCGCTTGTTTCTTTTTCTTTTCTTTTTCGTGCAACGAGAATTAAAACAAACGATCGAAAATTATTAATAAATAATTATCGTTTATCTTTTTACGTAATGTCGTATATATATTTTTTTCTATATAGGGAAATTAATGAAAATAATAATAATTTAGATTTGGATACTCGTTTATATAGGAAGAATAAAAAAAAAAAAAAAAGAGAAAAAAGAAAAAAAAAAAAAGAGAAAAAAGAAAAAAAAAAAAGAAATCGTTATGAATACATGTTGAAGTATCGAATGTTGCAATCAATGTCAAAGCAATTTCAACGTTTAATACAATTTGTCTTCTTTTTTTTTTTTTTTCTTTTTTTTTTTTTTCCTTTTTGTTCTTTTTTTTTTTTTTCTTTCTTTCTTTTTTACTCCAATCCACTCTCCAACACCACTCGATTGGTATTCCCATTCGTTTAAGCTCTGAAAAATAGTACAAGTGTCGCTGGAGTCTACGCTCTCTTTTCCCTTCCCATCAAATCAATTCGACCTTTATCTCTTGGTCGAATTTAATCACGTTTCTTTGGAAAATGAATAAAAAATATCTATCTATCTATCTATATAGATAGGTAGATAGATTGATTTTCTTGATCGGTATTCCGCGAAGAAATATATTTTGGAAAATTACATTTTATTGAATTTAATAAGACAATGATTGGGGTGGTTTCTCTCTCTCTCTCTCTCTCTCTCTCTCTCTCTCTCTTTCTCTTTCGTTCTTTTTGTCTGTCTATCTTTCTCTTTCCTTGGCAAAATTCATAGATCATTTGCTCTTCAATGTCAAATGATTTTCTTTTGTCTCGTTTCGATAGAAAAAAGATAAGGGGAAAAATGGAATATGACCTTTTCGTAAATTTTTCTTCTTCTTCTTGCTCGAAGCTACATACAGTGTATATATATATATATATATATATATATATACATATATATAATATATATATAATGTGACGTTACCTCGGTCTGTCATGTTTCAAGAACTTTTGTCTGCTTCAAGGCATCGATCAACGAAAAGAGGAGCTTATGAAAATGCAAAGTGCTGTCATGGAAATGAGGCTACATAGAGATTTAACGATTAGAAAATAGAATAAAATAGAAAAAGGGAAAGATAAAAATAAGGAGAGAGAGAGAGAGAGAGAGAGAGAGAAATAAATTGAAACTAATAATCAACACGAAATCTTAACTTTGACATTAAACTGTTTTTTAATCAATTCATTGTTTATACTTTGTTTACATTGATTATCGTTTTCTAAGAATCAAAGTTGAAGATAAACGTAAGAAAAGAAATTGAAAGATGATTCTAAGAAAGAAAAAAAAATAAATAAAGAATAAAAAAATCTGTAATATCTATGGTTTTTTAAACCAAATGAGATAGGAAGATATCTATTTTATCGATAGCTCGATAAAACAGATCTATACCGACGGTTGTAATAAAAATTCTTTTTTCTTTTAACTTTTTCTGCTTTATCGACCATTTTATAACTATAGATTCCTATATTATCGACTTTACTTAATCAATAATTAAGTTGACAGAAATTACATTTTCTTTTCTAGATTAGACAATTCATTATTGAAATATCGATTGGAAAAGTATCATTCTTCATCATTAATATATTATTAGTTAAAACAATATTGTTGCGAGATAAAACATAGAGAGAAAAAATAAAATATATATATATATATGTATATAAATAATTCTTCATTTATCATTCTCTCCCGACTTTTATTTCTCAGAGTAGTAGTCGTAGTTCATGAAGGTTTTATCAACATATCCAATATTATTGCCGTCTCCTTCAATCTTCCAAAGTTTCTTAGATTTTATTTTTCCATTATTTCTCTTCTTAGCCATCTCAGAGGCTAACTTACTCTCAACTTTTTCATTTTATATGTTTTAGAACTTTTTATTATTTCTCTCTCTCTCTCTTTTTTTTATGTATTTTTTTTCTTTTTTTTTTTTGTCGAAATACACACTTTTCTATATATACGTTTTAAATTTGGCGCTTTAAAAAATATATTTTTAAAAAATATATTTTCCATATTTGAATTTGTATTATCGAAATATTTTAATTATATTTGATATTTGATATTTTCCGCTTAAATTTCATCTTCTTTTCTTTCTTTTTTTTCTCATTTTCCTATCATTTCTCTTTCTTTTATTTGCAACACCTCTCGGCACCATGGATGGCCTTAAGTAATATCGATTGAGTTTTCAAAGAAACGTGAGAGACATAAGAAAACATGAAAAGAGCGGCGATGGTACGTAAACCTTGAGCATACCGAATGATTTTTCCCATCTGAGAGGAACATTCGTCGTTCCCCTTAAGGCATAGTAACAATATTCCCCTATCAAGAATGTTTATCAAGGATTATTTACGATCGATCGATTTGTTTAAAATTATAAATTTTTTTTCCATGTAGGTAACGTTATTATTTAAGATGAAGCTTGATTAGAAAGACAAATATTAAAGGAAATAGAATGAAAGGGAAAAAGGAAAAGAGAAATGAAAGGTATCATATATGTCATGACCTTAATGACATTAAAAATGTTTATCACGCCTTCTTTTTTGCATATATATATATATGAGTATCCCATGTTAAAGGATCTTTTATTATCATTCTGTTATCTCTCAACACGTTTGAATACTTTACCCGAACATTTATTATCTATGAGGGTTGAAAAAAAGGGAAGGGAAAAAGGAAAAATAAAAAGGTAGAAACAACTCGATCCAATACGTGACATTAATGGTTAAAATTCAGTTCGCGATCGAAATTACAGTCATGAAGTTTCCAATCAAGTTTCTACGAAGAGTTTTAACGTAAATGTTCAAAGCAGATAAGAAAGAGGAATGATGGCCAATCCTTGGAGAAAAAAAAGATTTGCTTTAACGTCCTTACTTGAATTTGTTCGATGGATTACATTTTTTATAAGGAAAATAACAAATTTCTCCTTTTTTTCCTTTTTCTCTTTTCTTTTTTTTTTCCTCTTTTTTTCTTTCTCTTTCCTTCCTTCCTTTGTTTCTATTTTTTTTTCTTCTCTCTCTTTTTTTTCTCTCTCTCTCTCTCTCTCTCTTCTCTCTCTCTCTCTCTCTCTCTCTCTCTCTCTCTCTCTCTCTCTCTCTCTCTCTCTCTCTCTCTTTCTCTCTCTATCATAGAACAGAAAAAAAAAAAAAGGAAAAGAAATGATTTTATCCACGAACACAATAGCGTGTATAAGCGGATTAGGATGTTGATGAAATTTAAAAGGCAGTTTAAACGTATAGATAAAGAAAGTCGTGGCCGTTTCAATGTCACCCCGTGTGAATAGTAATTTTCTCTGTATTCATGTGTGTGTGCAATGCAACTATCATCATATAAGGGACACGATTCACTATGAAGGAATTTCTAGCACAATATTCTGAATGGTCTCTATTACGTAGACCGAAATGTGCTTCGTCAGTATATCCAATATTTCATCGTTTATATACCATCCATCCGTTAACCATTTGCTATTTCGTTGAAATGAAACCGAATAGTTATCGCTCCATCAAATACTTCTAATTCCCGTGTTATCATGGATATTATACAGCTTCGATAAATATATATATATATATATATATATACCTATATATACCTATATATACCTATATATATATATATAGATTGGTAACAAAATGTTTCGATTATTGATTAAATTATCGGGCCCAACTTGTTAACGATTCTAAGAGAAAGAAGAAAAAAGGAAAAGAAAAGAAAAAAAAACGATTAATCCGAAATAGTCTCGAAAAAGGGTTTAATCGATTTACAATGAATAAAATTGTAAAAACAAATTTTGTAACAGCCTGTATTATCTATGAAAAGATGAGAGATCACATCGAAGTTAATCTTCCCTTTCAACTTTTTCAATAAATATCTTTTTCAACGAAGTGTCCGTAAGTACGATTATGTACCAGATCTGAGAAAGAAGAGATAGTAGAGAGGTGATATAAAGTCATTCAGAAAAAAAAAAAAAAAAAAAAAAAAAAAAAAGAGAAAAAAAGAAGAAAGAAAGAAAGAAAGAAAAAAGAAAAAGAAAAACCACTCAAGTAGGGACGAAAACGAAAGCGATACAATACTTAACGTTTTTGTTAAGAAACCAGATAAAAAGTTTTTACGTTCGCTCGTGAAACTTTTTTCTTTTCTTTTTTTTTTTTTTTCTTTTTTTTCTTCCTTTTTTTCCTTTCATTTTTTTTTTTTTTTTTTTTTTTTTTTTTTTTTTTTTTTTTTTTTTTTTGGTATTCGAACCTTTATCACATTTTTATGAAGCATCCAAGATTGTCTGTAAATATGTAAGTCTGTAAATATTTATTTGTAATTACCAACCACCATCGACTATTATAATTATTATTTAAAAAATAGAGAGAGAGAGAGAGAGATAATTAAATAAAATTAAATAAGTGGATATGAAAACAAGAGGAAAATAATAAGCAAACGTTAGAAAGTAAACAGACATTGCAGAGAAAGAAAGAAAGAGAGAGAGAGAGAGAGAGAGAGAGAGAGAAAGAGAGAGGGAGAAAGAGAGAAGCTGATTGGATAAAATAAATAGATGAACAATAAACAAAGAGATAAAGTTCGGATGTTGCTCGATCTGAAATGATAAAAAGCGACCGATAAGACCATCAATGATAAAGGTTAAATGTCATCAAGATATCGAGGTTGGACAAAGGAGTAGCAAAAAACTTTGTGCGCCCTTGTCCTTTTCGTTTTCTTCACCCTTATTTAAAACCCTCTTTTGATAATCCTCTCTCTCTCTCTCTCTCTCTCTTCCTCTTTCTCACTTTATTTTGATCTTTCCCTCTCTCTTGTTTTTCCTCCCCTCCCTTTCCTCCTCTCTTTCTATCCCTCACTCTCTCTCTTTCTCTCTCTCTCTCTCTCTTGCTTTTCCTCCCCTCCTCCCTTTCCTCCTCTCTTTCTATCCCTCTCTCTCTCTCCCTCTCTCTCTCTCTCTCTCTCTCTCTCTCTCTCTCTCTCTCTCTCTCTCTCTCTCTCTCTCTCTCTCTCTCTCTCTCCTTTTATTATCATATGTCTCTCTTTTTATTGCCATGTGTCTGTCCTTCGTTCATTCTTTTTCTCACTCTTACTCATTATTGTGCTCTCCCTCTCCCTCTCTCTCTCTCTCTCTCTCTCTCCCCCTTGTCCCTTATTATTGTAATTTCTCTGTCTTTTTACTATTCATTTTCTTTCTCCTTCTTTCTAATTATTGCGATCTCTCTACCATTTGGCTATTCATTAGCTCTCTCTCTCTCTCTCTCTCTCTCTCCCCCTCTTTTTATATATATATATATATCTGTCTATTTGTCTGTCTGTCTGTCTAATTATTACGATACCTTTTTACTTACTTTCTATTTTCTTTCTCCTTCTAATTTGATCATCTTCTTGATACCATTCTCTTTATTATGATTCGAACTATCTTTCTCTTCCCCCTCCACTAAAATGAAATTCTCTCCCTCTCGTTATACCTACTATTGTCTTCTCCGTTGAACCCTCACTCACTCACTCACTCTCTTACTCGCTCTCTCACTCTCACCCTCTTTTAACTCCCTTTCGCACAGCCTCTCCTCGAACGGCGCGTAGGTCCTCAGTTGCAAGTGCGCCGCGACGCGAATAAGATCGCTGATAATTCGTCAAACGTTTCCCCGCCAAATTCTTTCCAACTCGTCTTCTCTTTTGTCTTTCATTTTTTGTTTTTTTTTTCTTTTACACTTCTTCTTCTTCTTCTTCTTCTGCTTCTGCTTCTTTTTCTTCTTCTTCTTCTTCTACTTCTTCTTCTTCTTCTTCTATATATGGTACCCGAGAAACTGACTGAAAAACGAACGCCAATTGTAAGAAATTATATTTATTTGTTGAATTAATTAGAATTAAGTCGATTGAATATATCATCGTTTATTTATCTCAAATTACAAATGTGTAATTTAATAATATCGATAATGAATAATTAATATCGTAAATAATTAATATCGATAATTATCGTGAAATTTTTCGTCATTCCATTAATAAATTCATTTTCATTTATAAAAGCGAACGGAGATGTAAATGTAGTTTGGTAAGGAGAAATGAAAAAAAGAAAAAAAAAAAGAAAAAAAAAGAAAAGAAATACTATGAAATTAAATAGAACGGATCAGTGATTAAATTTGAAAGAAAAATAAGAAAAGAAAAATAATTATCACATTATTTTTTAAATATCAATCGTTAAATCAATCAACATTTTTTTTTTTTTTTTTTTTTCTTTTTTTTTTATGCAATACACCATTTAACGTCTATCGCATAACTTCTCGTTTCTCTGTCGATAGATTTATGTTTGTTTTATAAGGAAAAAAAAACAAAAAAAAAAAAAAAAAAGTAAAAAGAAAAAAAGAAAAAAGAGAAAAGAAAAATGACGATGCCCGATCGATCGTGATTCGTACCACTGAAAAAATTGTCGGCCCTCATTATAGGGTTTTTTTTTCTACTTACCCTTCGGTCTAGCACACCATTGACTCTCCCTACTGAAATACTTAAACACCGACAACGATGGGAGCGTGAAATTTTTCATTTTCTTTAACGCTTTCGAATCTATCAAATCGGACAAGAGATCTTCAAGGAGGGTTTAAGCAAATCGTACGAACGTTTAATGCTATAATAAAGAGGAATGACTATAATCCATATATCACAGATAACAAATCTCAATTGAAGATAAAAATCCGTGAGAAAATCGATATTATACATTATTGACCGTGCGTTGTCATTGAAATACGAGAGGAGTGAATTAAAACGTTATGTAAAAAAAAAAAAAAAAAAAAAAAAAAAAAAAAAAAAAAAAAAAAAGAAAGAAAAAAAAAGAAAAAGAATTGAATAATCATTTTTTCCCCTTCTTTCTTTTTTTAACTTTTTTCTTTTCTTTTCTTTTTTGTTTCATCCTTTCTTTATCGTAATGAAAAAAAAAAAAAAGAAAAAAAAAAATCAATCAATTTTCCTCTAATACATTTATCCTTTATCTTGAAATGAAAATAAAAAAAGAAAAAAGGAAAAAAAAAAGAATCGAGGAATCTTTTTTTTTTTTTTTTCCTTTTTTTTCCTTTTTTTCTTTTTTTTCCCTTCTTTCTTTTTTTAACTTTTTTCCTTTCTTTTCTCTTTTTTGTTTCATACTTTTCAAATTTCTTTGTCGTAACGAAAAAAAAAAAAAAATAAATAAATAAATAAAGAAAAAAAAAACAATCAATTTTCCTTCAATATATTTATCCTTTCTCGTCAAATGAAAGTAAAAAAAACAAAAAAAAAAGAAAAAAAAGGAAAAAAGAAGAAAAAACAAAAAACTATATTACGTGAGTCCTCGTTCGAGATAAATCTATTAAGCGCATCGTAACGAGCTTACACACTCGTTAATGATGATATTGCGAGACGAGTGTAATTGGACGTTCGACCAATAACAAGAATAACAACGCTCGCAATATTCGCTTGAGCGTGAATGACGCCGCCTATCTCGTTGGGCACGTGTCATATTTTAATACAAAGATGAATATATATATATATATATATATATATATATATATATATATATATATATATATTGAAGGAAGAGATTCTAAAGAAAAAAAAAAAAAGAAGAAGAGAGAACAAAGAAAACAGATAATAACGAGTACGAAAAAATTTGTATTGTACTTTATGTAATATTCATATGAGGAAATGTAGAGGGGGAAGAAAAAACGAAAAGAAAAAAAAAAGAAAAAAAAAATAAAAGAAAGAGAGAAATACAAAGAATGATTTCCACTTTTTTTATTTTTTTTTTTTTTTTTGTATCATATAAAATCAACAGGAGGCGGTATTGATTTATTTATTTAAGTATTTATTTATTTATTTATTTTTTTTTTCATTTTTACGATTAAATAAAATATTAAATTACTTTTAATCGATAAAGAAATTCATGAAAATCAATTAAAGATACAGAAACAGGAAGAGACAGAGAGAGAGAGAGAGAGAGAGAGAGAGAGAGAGAGATAGGGATTAATTCATACGTAATCACGATGAAATTCTAAAATTATTCGCATAATCTCTAATAATAATCAGACAATAACTATGAAGTGTAATCCCTTTGTATGATAAATTCCATTAGATTTTATAATTCATTCCATGAGAAATAGCGCATTAAGGACAATAATGTAAAGATATTTAACACGGATATATGGTATTTTATTATGGCATATAATTTTGGACGAAACATTGGCTTCTCGAATAATTCACGTTGTAATTCGTTCAATTGAATTGTTTCATAACTTACAGTTGAATTAATTAAAGGAAATTATAAGGCGAATTTAAACTGATTAATTATTTAAAAAAGGAAAAGAAAAAAAAAGAATCAATATTCGTCAATTATATATATTATTCGTTTGAATTTAATAACATTGAGTTATTAATTTTATAATAATTTTTACATATAAACGCGATATTATAATTTATTATTATTATTAATAAAACACATTGACGTACAATTGATTTCTTTCTTGTATGATAAAAACACGATTTCGATTTTTTTCTTTTTTTTTTTTTTTTTTTTTTTTTCTAAGTCGTACAAATTCTTTGTTAAAGTTTAAATTGAAAATGGCGAATACACCCAATCGTAATGTTTTTCTTTCTTTTTTTCATTTTCTTCGTAATGATCTGAAACTAAATTAAATAACTTATCGATTTTTACAAGATTTTTACTTATTTTCAAAGATCTATCGGGAGGCTTGTCTTTGACATCTTCGTTGACTATTACGTTCCGTTTCTTTCCATAAAACGACATTCAGTTTCTTCTTAAGCGATTCGATTCCGTAATCTTTCCAATTCTTTGATTGTTCTCTTTTATCAATGTCTACGTCAATATGTCTTGTCGATCTAACGATCGACATAAAATTGACGGAGAAATTCGTACCGATTGTACGAAAATGAATCGAATTTGTCAAAACGTACCAAATCGAATGATTGAAAAATTAAAAAAAGAAAAAAATATATATATAATATATATATATATTATACAGAGAATACGAGGCAACATATTTGTTAGTATCATCGATAAAAATAAAGATTTACGAGAAATCCGTAAAAAAAAGTATAGAATACGATCGTCGATACCGTATTTCCGGAATTGATTTCTCCTGGTCGTTTCGATGAATCGTCAAAATCGAAATAACAACGTTCTAGATATTTCTTTCGGTTCGTTAAATCCATGATAGAATTTATTTCGTTTATGATTTATTTCGTATAATGATCATATTTTCTTTTCTTTTGTTTCTTTTTCTTTTTTTTTTTTCTTTTTTTCTTTTCCCCACAAAAAATTCAATCCTATGTGTTCGTATATAATAATATATATATATATATATATATAAATTGAATGAAAGAATTGAATTTTTATTTATGAAACTTTTTATTAACAAAGAGAAAGCAATTCTTATCATTTTCTTTTTATTTATATACACATACATTACACACATTATTTACACATACACGTATGTATGTGATTTTTAATCAATTGTGAAGTACCATAAATTGTGAACAAAGTATTTGAAAGTTCTTAAATGAGATACGAAAGAAAATAAGTCATAAGATACCGTCGAAGAAAATAGGACGACACCCTTTACTATTTTTATGCATGCAACCTTGTTATCTCTCTTCTCTTTTTCCTACGGGAAATACAATATAATTTCACTCCTGTGTAAATCTCGAGATGACTACGTCTTAAAAGAAAAGAAATAAAGATAAACAAATAACAATAACAAATGCGAGAAGGAAAAAGTAGTAGTAGTAGTCGTACGAACGCACTATGTGTATATATGTATGTGAAAGAAAGATAAAGAAAAAAAAGGAAAATAAATAAATAAATAAATAAATAAATAAATGAACAAATAAATAAATAAATGAACAAGATATGAAGATAAGGGAATAGGGAAATGTTAAAAAAAATTCGTAAGATTTTCAATTCGAAACATTTTCAATTTCAAAATGATTTCATTCGAATAAATAAATTCGTTTATATGTATTATAATTGAATGAATTGTTTTTTTTTTCTTTTTTCTTTTTCTTTTTCTTTTTCTTTTTGGCGTTTAATACGACTAAAGTATTTTCATTTCTCTTTATAGAAATAATAGAAGAAGAGCGAAAGAGAAGGAAAAGGGAATAAAAAAAAAAAAGAAAGAAAAGACAATAAAAGGATTTAAGTGTTTTGAGAAAGGACAAGAAATGGTTTCAATGGTTTCATCAGCTGTCCTTGGAGCAGCTGCAGGCACAGGATTGGCTTTGGTAGTCGCAATGACTATAGTCATCTATAGATATTACGCCTTTAAACGTAAAGGAAAGTATTGGAGTAATCTCGATCGATGGCCAGACCCACCACAAACCAACAACAAAAACAACGAAAAAACGTCTGATACACATCAACATCCTTGTCATGACAAATCTGCCACGACTTCTTCTTACGTTTTGGATTGTTGGAAAAAACCACAACAAAGTTATTATGCCGTACAGAAAACTGTGAGTATTTTTTTTCTCTCTTCATTTTTATAATTCTTTTTCTTTTTTTTTGCACTTTTCTGCTTTGTGTTTCATACTTTATTTTTTCTTTTTTGCTTTCTTTCTTCTTATTTTTTATTTCAAATTTGCTCTCTATATCGATAGATTTATCGTACAAAATTGCCTGGAAATTCGTGAATATATCCTTAAAAACTATCAATTCATTGTCAAATTAATATAATTGATTTCGATTCGTTCTCGATAATTCGTAACCGCGAACCCGTGTGGCTTGCATTATAATTCAATTTCATTTCCAATATTACATTCGAAAATTCAATCGTTACAGGATACTCATTCATTAAACGTAATAAACAATTGCGAGAGCTATATTTTGATATATTTTCAATAAAAAAAAAAAAAAATATTTTATAAATATATCCATATAGAAATTATATAGAAATTATATATATATATATATATATATATATATATATATATATAATTATATATATATATATATTATATATATATATATTATAATATATATATATATATATATATATATATCGTTTAGTACGATTGAATTTTTAAGAAATGTCGATAATATCTATGAGCATGGTAAGGTAGAATTCTTTTTGTATTATAGAATTCTGTATTATCGTCTGTGTAGAACTTAGTCTGTTGTCGATAACAGTATTTCTTATCGATAAAACAGAATTGTCGGTACGGAAGTTTCGGTATTCTGTTTTATCTATCTCAGATAATATCGTAACGTTTGACAATTCCTTTATCTATATTTTCTCGTTCTATCGATTGATTTAATTATTTTATTAAACTAATTAATATCATAAACATTGTATAATTTATTTATAATTATACATATTTTAGATTACATAATTTGCCGTAAGGAAATTGTTTCATTTAAATTCGAGCTCGTTAAAGATATACATAAGCGACATAAATATATAAATGTATGTATATATATATATATATATGCAATATCACTATTAAATCATGTGCATAGAAATAACAAATTTTCAAATAGATACAGAAAGTAAATAGATTGATGATAATCAAACTTCATAGGCGCCTTCGTATGTCATTCTAAATCCTTGAAACCTTAATAAAAATGCGGAAGGTCAACGTAAGTCAGATAAAAAAGAATTTATATTAGCTAAACAAAAGCGTAACTCAAAAAAAAAAAAGAAAAAAAAAGAAAGAAACCAAATTGGAACACGTCGACATTTTTCCCATGACCAATTAGACGAACTTTGGAATTATATTCAATCTTGAGAATTAAAAGTATTTTTCAATACCATAAGATTTAAATAACGATAGTAATAAAAAATTGTTCTTAAATTGAAAAACTTAATTTGAAAAACACAGAAGATCGATATCTCGATCTGTCTAACAGATATACCTCAGATTTTTATCAGAATTGACGAACGTAAAATTCGTTATCACACTTATCGTAGCGGTACACGCAATTGTATGCATGTGTATACATATACGTGTGTGTGTGTGCGTGTGCGTGTGTGTGGGTGTGTGTGTAAACGCACGGGAAACCGTTCTCGACGTCCTAACAGAGAGAATATATAGAATCTGGAATTTGGATCGATACAGCAACACTCTACGACTGACCGAACTATATCGTGCTTTCAATCGCAACGTATTGAGAGAAAAAAAAAAGAGAAAGAAAGAGAGAGAGAGAGAGAGAGAGAAAGAGAGATGTGGTAGGGATGATGGGAGGGGTGAGAGAGATGGGTGGGGGAAGGAAGTAAAACAAAAATAACCATTTTTAACAGATGAGTTAAAAAGAGATGATGATGGATCGATTTAACGTCTTTGTTTATTCTATTAAAAAATTATTATGGATGATCTCAGAAAAAAAAAAAAAAAAAAAAAAAAAAAAGAAAAAAAAATTAATACCAAAGTTAATGGAAGTGTACTGTAAATTTTAAACGATCATAAACTCGCATTAATATTTTCAACTAAACAATCCTATAAATTATTCATAAATGTAATGAAGTAAACGTGAGTTAGAGAGAAAAATAATCTAATGAAATATAATGTTTATCATTAAAACAAAAATATAAACTATCTGTATTAGAGTATGTCTTGTTTCTCTTTTTCCTATCTCTCTCTCTCTCTCTCTCTCTCTCTCTCTCTCTCTCTCTCTCTCTCTCTCTCTCTCCTCTTTCTAATCACTTCTGAAACTCTCAAATCACTATTAACGAGAAATAAATGAAATAAATAAATGTAGCTTTAGTACTCTTTGTACCTTTAAATAGAAGAACGTAGTGCCTCGATATAGTTACGATTTTCAACGAAGTTAATTGATTTCGTTAATTGAAAAGAGAAACGAAAGAATTCTTTTTATTCGACTTTATAATCATATAAATTGGACGAATTCTAGGAAAACAAAATTTTAGTTAATTTTTTTTCCTTTTTCCTTTGAAAATATCAAAAATTAATATCTCGAAGATTCATATTTTTATTGAAATAATTTATATATGTGATTAAAGATAAATAAAATTTTATTCGTTAAATTATACATATATCCTCTCAAATCTAGCATTTAATTTTGTTCTTTCATTGATTTATTTAATATGTAGTGATTAAATAGATAAAAAGAGAATAAAAAGAGAGAGAGAGAGAGAGAGAAAGAGAGAGAAAATGTATGTTTCTGAAATGTTTTCATCGATGGTCGTCGAAAATCCTTGGTGAGAGGGACAATGAGAGAGAGAGAGAGAGAGAGAGAGAGAGTGAGAGAGAGAGAGAGAGAAAGAGAGAGACAGTCAGTATAGTACAAAGGTTAATAAAAATTTTCATTTATTTATCTAACATGTATTGATAAAAAAGAAAGATAAAGAGTGTATATATATATATATATATATATATATATATATATATAAGATGTGTGTTTTTGAAACATTTTCATCAATAGTCGTCGAAAATCATTTGATCAGTGAGTAAAGAGAGAAAAAGAGAGAGAATATGTAGTATAAAGGTTAATCAAAATTTTCGATTTTTACCAAAATGAAATAAATGAATGAAAATGGTCTATACTTTCTAATATTATTAAAAAAGAAATATATATATATATATATATATATATATATATATATATGTCATCGTATAAACGAATAATCCTTCAAGAAAAATGATAATTATTTTGATATAATATTCTCAAAAGCGATCTTTCTGTCTTTTCTGTTTCTTGTTTCTATTTTTTTGTCTTTTATCTTTTTTTATCATTTACATTTTATTCTTTGAAAAATTTAACGAAATGATCCGCAACAATATAATCTCTTCTTTGAAAAGATTCTATGGCAACTACATTGCACACTTTTTCTCTCTCTCTCTCTTTCTCTCTCGGATTTCGTTATTCTTTCTTTATATTCATTGAATAGCAGATTAAGAATTGCACGCAAGAATAATCTTTCATCAACGAAAAAATAAGAGAGAAATTAAAACGAGTATATCCAAGTCTTACGAGATTTTTCTGATACATTAATTGATTTTATACTTCGTGAGAGACTTTAATTTATTAATAAATCGAAAGAATAGATAAGAAAGATAAAATAGATCTTTATTTTAAATTATTATTGAGATAAAATTAAAAAAAAAAAAAAAAAAAAAAAGGAAAATATATATGTATATATATATATATATAGAAGAATAGTCATATTTTTAGAGGCCGCACCCTCCCTCCCCCCCCCCCCTAACAATAGGCAACCCATTAATACATTAGTGTAATGTGAAATAATCTACTTGTAGGGGCTTCAAAGAAATCAAATTATATTATTGTTAGTATTTGGAATATTTCCAGGCAAAATATCTCATAAGTAACATTTGTATAAATAATTATGGTTATGAGAAAGTGATGATAAGTGGCAATAATGAAAAAAATGAAATTATTCCTTGACATATCCGTGAATTTTCTTTTAACGAATTATTATTTTTTTTTTCAATTAAACAAAACAAATGTAACTTCATTTTATTTACAATTAACATTATACAAAATAT